GACAAGACCAAGACTTTTGGGGTCCAAGACCGAGTCAAGACCAAGACCAAGGGAAGTTGAGACCGAGTCAAGACCAAGACCAGCGGCCCGCGCTACATGACAATAAAATGTAAAATATGATCAAAATTGCTTCTCAAAATAATCTGAAAGATCCATATTACCATAAAACACCTAGATATTAAATACTTAATACATTTTACCAATATTAAATATTCCATTTCTGTGCTAAAATGTGTGATGGTCTCGTGCCATCCCAAAAAACATAACGCCCTGGGCATTTGCCCATATTGTTCATATAAGAAACCATCACCACTGTCTGCACCATTAAACATAGCAATTGAGGCAATGCCCTGACAGTAAATAATGCTCAACTATGAACACTGACCAAGGAGCAACAAGCAAGAAGTAACCAAACAGAAGGCGCTCATCGTGACTGTTTTCACTCTCATTCCCAGTACATGAAGCCAGGTAGTCTGACACCATGGCAGACATTACAGCCATTTGTAATGTCTGCCACTTTGAACAAAAACAATCAAAGAGCAATGTGCATGCTCTGCGTGCTCTTTCGTTCTTGTTTTAGTTATTTGTTAAATTAAATATCAACGTACATAATTAAATAAAATAATGATTGAGTGTACACAGAGCATTACAAGAACAAAGAACGGGTGTTCTGTCAGGTCAGATCGTCATACGCTTAGCACGAACTCACGGTGTTCTGTCAGATCAGCATACGTTGTCAGATAGTCGTACGCTTAGCTCAGACATGCGCTGTCATTACCATATGATTTTATTTAATCAGCAACATAGAATCATGACGTAGATCATTATTAACAGTTGTATGGCATCCAGCTGCAGCCAAACCTGCTTTAAATACACTTTGAAACCATGACAACGCATGTATATCTATCTAGTTATCATATTATGTCATATTATAAACAATTTAATGACTTATTTTCGTCATAACTTGTTGCGTATACTGACAACTACACTGATGGTTGGACTTCTTAATGCGCATGCGCTGGCATGGTACTGACTGCATGTATGCTATTCTGACAGCGTATGGCTATGTGATAGAACAACGGCTGTATCTGTCAGACACGTCATTACCATAAGATTTCATTTAATCAACAACATAGAATCATGACGTAGATCGTCATACACTGTTATTAACAGTTGTATGGCATCCTGACTTAGCGGTTAAGTGAGTTTTACACGGGCGTGTG